AAAGGTTGGAAACTTGGAAGATCTTATATAGATTTTGAAAACTTAAAAGATCTTAATATTTATAATAGGTGTCGCCTTGTTCCTCTTGAAATAAGAATAGGAGCTATTGCTTCAAGTTTTTGGCCAAACAAGTGGCAACTTGTGGGTATAAGCTTTAGTTTATATGGTAATCTAGTGGTATTGGTTAAGTTTTATGTGTAGCTGGTTAAATTGTGATGAGTCTTTTAGTGGGGTCTAGTTGATGATCAAATTTTCTCGGTGTGTAGATGTTCATAGCCATCAAAATTCACTGCCTCCGTTAAGTGATGATTATGTATTTAATAATAAGGAAAGAATATTTCAAGCTAGTTGTTGTGTATTCATGGTGTTTTGATCATGAAATGGATCTCTCTTGGCTGCAGTGTGATACTTATTTGTCTCCTATCCTTCTTTTGCAGATTAAAGTAATTAACCTCTTCCAGTTCAAAATTCTCTATCTGGTGTTCACTTTTGGCTAGCATGCTGCTATGGTTAGAAAAAGTTTGAGTTGGAAAATTTGTGTTTAAAAAGTGTAGTAAGAAAAATGTGGTTAAAAATTTTAAGTGTTTAGTATTGCTATGGAAAAGCATTATGGAGTACCATGGATAATTGAAATGTCTAAAAAAAATGCATAAAATAATAAAATATTAAAAATATAGGGTAATATAGTGATTTTCTATCCCAAAAACACTTTTTCACTGCCAAAGCACCGAACAAATAGCTTTTTTATTTGGATTGCAAAGTTCGGCTTTTTAACTAAAAAGCCATATTTTTCTTGTTTAGCATTGAGGTTGGGTTAAAAGCAGTTTTGAATGCCAAAACTACTTTTAACTGCAATGCTAAACTAGTTTTTTGTAAAATTGTGGCTTAAGTTTGTTACAGAAGCTTCTAGGCTCAAAAGATTAGAAAGGGTCCATGAAGGATAAGAGGATGATGGCCCAGCTTATGAAAAGCTATTCTACTGAAAAAGCAAAAGCAACGTGCTTGGCTCTTCAAATTTTATAATTTTAGGCTAGCTTATGTTGGATGCTCATTTGGGCTTTTAGACAAAGCTACAAATAAAAGCTTCTCTGAAAAGTACTAATACCATGTAGTAACAAATATTTAATGAGATTTGTTTACATTCTCATTTTATTCTTCAATAATTCATAAATTTATGAGGAAAATTATTATACATTCATCCATTTTATTTTTTAAGATTAAGCTTTTTTCATTTGATTTGAATAGTAAACAAATTTTATTGAATTTTCTATTAATAAAAGATTTTCTTTATTTTTTTCACTTTAATACTAATGATTTTGTTTGTTAAAGTTTGAATCTTTTATTTTGTTTATTTACTAAAAAAAATCAAATACTACCATTAAATAGTTTTCTGCATTTTATAGCACCTTTGCTTTTAAGTTTGTCCAAAGTTATTTCTCTTTACATTAAGTTTTTAGCAACTCTACTCAAATAGCGCTTTTTATTGAAGCTCCAGCTAGGCCTTTTGTTATGCTCTTGTAAGCAAGTTTTTTGTACTTAGTGTCTTGGTGAATTTATCAAGTATTTATTGATCCAAAGTTTAGCTTCATTGTCAATTTAATAAGTCTAGGCATGATAAACCCCTTGGTAAATGCAGCCTATGTTAGAAACCTTGTGGTAAAGACTTAGAAGTTTTTCCAGCTCCGTTGTGCATTTAGTTTAGTATGCTACCCAGCCAAATGTCTTCTTTTGCTTTTCCATGCTTTGGATTTTTTTTGGCTACTAGTAGAAATTCCTATGCATGGACAATGGCAGATCCAGGATTTTTCTTGGAAGTATTCACTTTTAATATATAAAAACACTCTAAACAAAAATTTGAAATAATATATTTGTATATCATTATAATTGTTCATGATGAGTTATCATATCTTGACAAAAAATGTAATTGCATCATTGTTGATATTATCAAATACATCATTTTCAATATATGTAATTAAACAATCATTCAACAAACAATAAAAAATTTAAGTGTCACGGAGAAAAATGGACCTTCAAATTTTTTTATTTTCTTTGACACCCTACCTTATAACTTGCATTCTCCTCTGTGCATGGATGAGGTTTGATGGGTATATTTAACAAGTCCTAAAATTTTCATTCCAAAAGCTTCTATTTAAAAGTTCAGGACCATGTCTTAATTGAATATTTTCCTGTGGCAAAGCAGTTAGTGTTAGGGTTCACTAATTTCCCTGAAATTAATGCATGGAAAATGTGGTTGCTACTGCTAAAGGTATGGTATATTGATTTTGGTTCATGGTTTAGGAAACAACAAGGCAACAGATGGATTGCATGTACTTGAGAATAGATTAGATTGCTTGCTCTATAGCTCTCTCTCTCTAGCTTATGGTTAATCTTCTCTTGAGCCTCTCTTAAGTAACGTAACTGTTTATGAGGATGGAGGACTCTAGAATGTTCTTTTATTTTTTATTATTTATTTTTTGGAACTGATTTGGTACTTTTGACCACAAAGTCTATTTCCCAGGACAATCATCGAGGGCCTGATTTATGAAATTTTATGATGTGAATTTTTGTGAAGGCATGCTAATTAGGTGGTAATATTGTTTGCTCCGAAGTAAAACTGTTTGATAGTGTTTGTTATTATGAAAAGGAAAACTAGTAATGGATTCTGTAGCTGATTGTGAACAGGTTCAATGATAAATTCTGTTTTTGTTCAGGTTTTGGATCGTGGGGAGAAGATTGAACTTCTTGTGGACAAGACAGAAAACTTACAGTTCCAGGTTGGTGCTGTTTTCTGATTGATTGAACATATCTTCAACTGTAAGTTCATAACGCATATGCTTTGTGCGGATGCTTGTTTTTTATATAGGCTGATAGCTTTCAGAGGCAAGGCCGGCAACTGCGACGGAAGATGTGGCTGCAGAATCTCCAAGTGAAACTGATGGTATGTGGAGCTATTCTTGTGTTGATCATTATATTGTGGCTTCTTGCGTGTGGAGGTTTCAAATGTTGATGTCACAAGCCAAATTTGGAACTTTTTAGCAGCATTGCTTGTCTTTTTTATTTTATTTTTATTTTTTATTTAGATGTACAAAATAGTTATGCTCAAGTACATGGATAATTGGCTGTTGCTGTTGGTATGTAGCACTACCTAACTGTTAAACAATGTAATCGAACAACTGTAATAGGCTAAAATAATTGAAAAGCTTTTGAAATGATGAAATTTTATCATTTTTCCTATATAAGATTTTGTACTTTTATTGGACTCTAAACAAAGTTTGTTTGGGTACTTAAATAAATTATTTGGTATGAATAAAGGTTTATTTGGATAGAAATAGAGATTAAATGATTTATTTGAGTACAATAAAAGAATAGAAAATTATCTTAAAAAATAAACAAATTCAAGTGTTCATTTAGTATTTTTGCCTATGTATTACCTGCTGTTTACGGTAATAATAGAGCCTGTTTTTTTAGAATAAAATTTATTACTGGTTTTCTTGCATTGATCTTGGTTTTACTCTATGCACTAATTACACAACATATTTTGGGATAAAAGGTAAGTTTGTCATTTAATGTGGGAGGGTGTTGGATTCTGTCATTATATTTTGGTTTTATTGAAGTTCGTCGTATTTTCAATTTTGATGATTTTTTGACGAAGTCATTCGAAATGATTGCAAAATATTTTTGTTAATTTATTTAAAAAAGCTTAAGCTTTCAATAAAACAAAAAAAATATGACGTTGATATTTTATATGTAGTAAAAATGTACGCATGGCATGTTATGTTGGAAAGAGTTATTATTTGTTTTTTTATAATATTTTTTTATTAAAATAAGTATTCTTAAATATTAAATTTATTTTTAAAATATTAATTATAATTTATCAAATATATTAGAATTAAAATAAAAACAAAAAATGGTTAATCCAAGCAAAAATGTAAGTGGTATTACTGGAAGCTGAAGTATAATTTCAAAATTGTTTTTAATTATCATGGCAATCAGTCGTATTGAATCAATTTTGATTGTCATCTTATAAAGTGTCAGAGAATGTAGAGGTCTTGTTTCTTATATCCTTTTTCATGGCTTCCGTGCGGCTTTCTACGTTCTTGTTGGCTAAGTGTTTCGCGGTGACCTGCTTAGCTTTAGGTAGTTTGGGTTTTTGAGTTAGTCGGCTTTCAGGGTTTTATTTTCATCTGGGATTAGTCGGCAGCTTCGGAGTTTGGGGTTTTCTTGGGTTGTGGTTACTGGTTCATTCAAAGTTCATGGAAGTGTAATGTTTTGGACGAGTTCTTCGAGGGTTTGCAGTTGTAGGGTTAGAGCTTCAAACTGTTCGAATGTAAGTGCAGTTTGCGTAGGTCGTTCCCGATTGAGTTGGCTGAGTAACGTGGTATCAGCTTCAGCCATAGTGGGTTGATCTCCTTCTGCAACTCTCATTCTTGGAAGCATTATGAGCTCAGCTGAGAAATTTGGTCGAAATTTGGTCCCTATTTGATGCATAAAAAATGCTGGTGTCTAGCTTCACTTAAGGTTTATTTGAATGAACGGTAAAATTAATTTTGATGAAATTAGAAATAATAATAAAAATAAAATTAATTATTATAATATAAAATTAAGTATTATAATGATGAGATTAAAATTAATGATAAAATATGTGTTTAAATATAAATGCAGCGATAACGTGAAATTTAATGAAAAAAAAAAATAGCAATTAAAGAAATTAAATAAAAACTTGTATAAAATTTTTTTTAATATATTTGTTATTTTTATGAATTAATTTTTTTAATAAATAATAAATTTATTAAAAATTAATAATAATATTTTACAATTAAAATTTTTTTAGCTTTTTATTTTATTCATCAATTTATTAATTATATAAATGATTATTAAATAATTATAATGATATTATTTAAAAATATTTAAATAAAAAACTAAAATAACCAATAAAACAAATAAACAACAAAAAAGACAAATAAAGCATACAAGTGACAGGGACATTTTCGTCCCTGCACTATAGTTTTAAGTGTTAAAAAAAGAAAAAAAAAAAAAAAAAAAAAAGGAAGCCTGGGTAATAAAGGAAAAAAAGCTGCGGTGAAAGTGAAATATTTTAACTGAACCCTGAAGGTCTAGTTAGTTTTTAAGCTTCCAGTGCAATTAAAAAATATGAAACGCACTGGGTTTTGCTTTCTAAACACTTCATCAGTCCAGTGGGATGCTTTAATTAGGTTTCACTAGAGCTTCGGTTGAATCCAAATGAAGCCTCAACAAGTAAAAATCTAAAATTAAAAAAAAAAAATCAAAGATTGATTAAAAAGTAAAAACCGGAGTTGTTTCTAGTATTTATATTTCGATGCCTAAGTTATTACACGAAAGAGAGGAAAAAAATCTGGAGTGAATATTGAGAATGGATTACCCATACTTGGGGGAGAGAAGGTACTTATAACTGAAGTAAAAGGTTTTCAAATCCTGATGGCCCAAGCTCTTAGAATCAGGTTTTGTGCTGATGGGGTTGACCCGACATGACGTGATAGAAAACTCCTAACAAGAGAGGACCAAGTCAGCATGTTGCATACAATGAGGTGAGATGTGATGCTAGCCGAATTAAATATAGAGTCTGAGAGATAAGATCGACTTATCATATCAGCTTGAATGATCAAAATAATTCCAAACCATCGCTGAATCAATCGTAATAAAAGAAAATTATGTCATTATGATTGTAAAATGCTCCTTAATACCTTAGAATGACGTGACTGAAAATTTTTTGTGCAATAGAATTATACCTGAAAGGAAAATATCAGTACAAACAAAAAAAAAATGTTATGTTAAATGAACTGTCAGCAATGGAGGCCAGAAAGCTGACCAGAATCACCCAAAGTTGGAAGCCTGGGAAAACAGTGGGAAAAATTAAGAAAGCCTGAATATTACACTCATCCAAATCTAAAATCAAATTAAAATCTAATACTTACTGGTGCTTGACCAAATTGAACTAAACTCCAGGCAACTTTGAAAAACCAGGCCATATTGTCGTATTAAGTTCATCCATTGTTGCCGTTTGATCTTCATGTTTAGGTTATTCACTTTATAATTCGAGCACGTGATCCGCGAAAAATCTCCTTCAATTGTCTTCTTTCCAATAAAGTCCAATTGATTTCTAGAATTTTTTTTGTTGAATATCCGATTGATTATCTCTCTAAAATTAGGAAAATATTTGGTTTGAAATTTTTTCTTTTTTCTCTTCATTTAAAGCAAATTTTGGGTTTTTAAGGTTCTTTAAAAATCCCTTCAATTATAAAGGGTGATCTTGTCTTTTTATATCAATACTGACATCGTTTTCCATTTACTTTAATCAATCTCAAAATTAAAAATAAAAAAAAATTATTAAAAATAAATGCGAAAAAATCGAATACCACAAAAATTATACATGGAGCTTATCTTAAATTCTTTTAATAGACCGCATCTCTTTAAAACCCCCCTATTAATGTCTGAGGCCAAAGGAGGTGACTAGTTGAACTCGTGTGACTAGGAAGGAAAATCAGGTGCCATATTGTTTTCTATCGTTTTCCTAGAGATATATAATATCTACCCATATTTATACTTTAATTTACGTGGGAAACTAAAGATTGAAATCTAAAACAGATCATGATTCTAGTTTTGGGTGAGATAATCATAAATGAGTGTATATCCATAATACCATTTTCTAAGTTTTGCTTGTTTATTGGGGAATAAACGTGAGCAATGCTTTGATTCCACGGTATCTAATATTTCTCTTTCAATTTTTGGTCATTTCTTTTAAAATAGTTCAATCCCACCCTTACATATTTGCCATGCCCTCGTATCACTTACTATTATTATGATATAATTAATCAATTAGAATTTAATATTCTATATCATATCACTTACTATTTTTGTAATAAAATTAATTAATTAGAATTCAATATTCTGTATGACTTTAAAAAAATTTATGTAAAATTCATACTATTAAGTGATAGATCCTTACATAATTTTTTTTTTTTTATAATTGTTTATGTATAAAATTAAAATAAAAAAATTGTAGATAAAATATTTCCTCTCGTATTATATTATTTGTCATGTATAAATGGAGATAAAATAAAAGAGTTTTGAAGCAAACCAACCCTAAATTTCTCTATCATCAAAGTAAATATTTAATTGTCTACCTAAAATACCACTAACATCTTATATTTTCCAATTTTACTCTTAAATACTTAATTTTTTTCCTAAAATGTCCTTACCAATTAAATTTTTTACAAATTTATCCTTAATAAGTAAATTAACTTACAAATTACTAATATAATCATATACAAACACACACACACACACACATATGTATATTTTCTCTTGATAACGCAAAGGACAATACCTAAATTTATAATATTATACATTATTCAAAATTCAAAATATTCCAAATTAAATCTTTCCCAAATTATCTAATATTGATTTTTTTATTGTATTTTTACCCGTCTAAAATCAAGAATGCATTGTAAAAGATAAAACTAACCATATAAAATCAACATTAAGTTGTAATAAAAATTGAAAACATGAAAAATTCAATTTATTGGACAAAATAATATTACATTGTCTATATATCTCTTTTTAAATTTAAAATCACAAATATGATTTTTACCTTTATAAATGTTCTTATAATCCTTTATTGTATGTTTAGTTCGTGGAATAAAATAGAGGAGAAATGAATTTCGTATTATGTGGGAATAAAAAATAGGAGGAATGGAATAGAAATCGTGTTATGAAGTTTGGTTCATTAAAATAGAATAAAAGAGAATTTAGAATTAATGTGTTTGATATGCTCAAAGAATAGAGATGGAAAATGTTTGAAAGAGCATTTTACTCTTATAATTTATTTCAAAATTTATTAATTAATAAAAATGAATAAATAATAAATAATAATTGAATATATAAAATAAAATATTAATTGATGATAATTTAATAATATTAAATATTAATTAATTCGATAATATTAAAAATGAATAATATTTAACATTAATTGATATTATAATTATTTATTTTATTTTAATTAATATTCATATTAAATAATATTAATTTTATAGCCAAATAGAATGGAAAACCTAAGTATATGTTGCCAAGCTAAGGTTGAAATATGTAAAGACCGATGCAATGACTCTTGCTCGAGTAGCTGGATATACTTTATTGTGAGATAATCACAAAAAAAAAAAAAAAAAAAAAATGATGGAATGGTTAGAGGAAAGGAGTATTACAATTTATTCTTTCCTTGATGTGTTTTGTATTTATTAAATTCTCAAAACTTAGAAGAAAAAAAAAAAGGAATGGTAAAAGGAAAAGGTATTACAATTACCTTTTAGTCTTCTTTTCCCTTTTTCAATCAGATTGACCCTGATCCTACCTGAGCCAGCCTGTGATGCCTCCTTTTCCCCTTCTACCTCTTTTTCCTCGTCCCTTGTAATCCTATAATCATTTTTTGAAATTTTTTTTTAAATATCAGATTTTAATATTTTTTAAAATTTTTCTTATTTGATGACAATACATAATGTGATAATGACTAAACATTTAAGAAATATATCATGATTTAATTAGATATTTATGTCACATTAGTTATTAATTGATAATATTAATTCGAAATATCTAAGTGATTAACGAAATAAAAATTAGAATATCTAAATGGGAATTTTATTTTTTTAAATATTAAATTAATAAAATAATCATTTTACATATTAATCCTTTTACCAATTGGAATATGAAAGATAGATTTAAAACTCATAACGGTGGTCCTAATGTGCTTAATCATGCATATAAGAAAATATGAACAGTTGTTGAATCAAAATTTATACATTCAATCTAATTTGGTTAAACAATTAAATCAAACTTAAATTGGAAATTGAACTAAATTGGTTGCTCCGATAGATTGTCTTCGATTTCGCTTATGTTAATGGCTAGCTTTTCTTGGTCATAATGAAAAGAAAAACCAAGAAACTAAGAAAAATTTCCTAAACATTTGCATTTTCTTACCTATTATAATTAAGTTATTAATAATGTTGTTTTAAAGAATATTTCTAACAATTTATTATTTACCACTAGTTATTATTTAATATAATATAATAAGTATTACAACAAGTGAGACAACAAAAGTTATTATTGACGATTTAGAAGATGGCTTAATTTCTAGCTTGGTTGATGAATCTCGTGATATGTGCAATAAAAAAAAATCACTCTTGTTTTGCGTTGAGTAAATAAAAATAGTTGTATAGCTGAATTTGTTTTTGGGGGAATTATCACTGTTTGCCTTCTTATTATTGAGTTATTATTTTCCGGATTGAATTTGTCAAGATTACGAGCACAAGGTAATAATGGTGCTATTAATAGGTGAAAGGGATTTAATAATATAAAAAGTTTAATTTAAAAAAAAATAATTATGTTTTTATATTTATCGTTTTACTTATCAACTTCAGTTGAATTTTATAATTATTATAAAAAATAAAAATTCAATTGCTTCACATTTTTATAATATTGATACTTAGCTAAATATTATTAAAAATTTTATGCAAATAGTATGAGACTTTAAAAAAATGTTAAATTATTAAAGTTGTTAAGATATTAAAGAACGATGAACTTACAAGTAAAGAGATTTAAATCATTAAACAAGCCTCAAATGCATTAGTGACATTCGATATGATTCTTATTATAATAAGTTTCACTTAATCATCTTGTTTTCATTTATTACTAATGTATTTGATAATGTGATTGAAAATGATTTAAATTTTCAATAAAAATTGAAGGTAAAAAGCTATTGCAATTGATTTAATCATTTGATTTTATTTTCAATTTACACTAAGTGAATAGTATGCAAAGAATTATAAATGAATTATAAAAAATTTAGTAGAGAATGATCAAAATATTATTAATATTATGGAATTAATTAAAATATTTAAATGACGATTACAAAATGAGAAATGATAAATAACATACTTTACTGGTTGAAATTTCTTCGTTTTTTAAAAAATATGATACACTTGTGGATCATAATATTCATAATGTCTTTGTAGCTTCTAGAAAATAAGACGTAAAATTACCAAAATTTTCAAATTTGAATCATTATTAAATCAACTTATTCTGTATGATGATGGACAGACAAATTTAAGAGCTTAAAGAATAATTTTACCGAAATTCACACTAAATTGATTCTTTGTGGACACTGACATGCCTTCGTTAAAGTGACTCATTTTTCAATGAGATGCACAGTAAAGTCACTTCGTTACTAATTTACTCATTTTCATTGCTCATTTTTCTGTCTTATCAATTATCAAAAATATTATTTTATTTTCATTTATTTTTTGTGCTTTTTACGAAGCACATTAGAAAAAAAATATTAAATATATTTTTATATTTTTCTACTCTTCTAATTTTTCATTTCTGTTTTTTTATCAACTCCTCTGTCCATACAAAACTTTAAAACGTAAAATAAAAGGGAGAGTTTAAATGATTAAAAAAGGTTAATTTGTTTGATTACTATAAAAAATCCTGATTAAAAAAAAAAAAAAAGAAGGTGGAGTGATTGACACGCGCCTTGAGATTATGTGGGGCATGCAAACACCTGACACTGGGGTCAAAAGTAGACTTCTTGTAATGTAACCGCCACTGGGTCAGTGCGCTGTGAGCGCATCTTCTCTCTGAAATCCTCTCTGTCTATCCAATTGCGAGAATACCCCAAAATGTTCTTAGTTATCACTTTTTCTTCCGTCTATATAAATCGTCAATGAAGCCAATCCAAACGCCATAACTCGCCATTCCATTCCCCAAACCCTGGGACCCATCTTTCAAATTCTAATGGACACCTACTCTTGCTCTTTCTCTAGCTTCCAATCTTACCTCCGGGCCCTGGCCCAGACCCCAGCTCGCTTGGCTCGCCGTGCACCCTCTGTTTCTTCCTCATGTGAAGAATTGAGCCGGGTGAGGGCCCGTTCCGGCTTCGACATGCAGAGGAGCCTTCGTTGGTTTGATTTGGTTGGGCTGGGAATTGGAGGCATGGTCGGAGCGGGTGTGTTCGTGACCACCGGCAGAGCCAGCCGGCACTACGCTGGCCCTGCCATCGTAATATCTTACGTCATCGCCGGTATTTGCGCCATCCTCTCCGCCTTCTGCTACACGGAGTTCGCCGTCCACATGCCCGTGGCTGGCGGTGCCTTCAGCTACCTTAGAATTACCTTTGGGGAGCTTGCCGCATTTTTTACTGGAGCCAATCTGATAATGGAATACGTAATGTCAAATGCAGCGGTTGCGAGAGGCTTCACCTCTTATTTGGGTGCTGCAATGGGTATATCCACAGCAAAATGGAGATTCACAGTTGCAGGACTCCCAAAAGGGTTCAACGAAATCGACCTGGTGGCTGTGGCCGTCGTATTAATCCTCACTCTCATCATCTGTTACAGCACAAGAGAAAGTTCAGTGCTGAACATGATACTCACCGCATTACATATTCTTTTTATAGCCTTTGTAATATCGATGGGTTTCTGGAAAGGGGATTGGAACAATTTCACGCGTCCAGGGAACCCCCACAATCCATCCGGCTTCTTTCCCTACGGACCTTCTG